GTTTGCTGGGACCCGGGTTCCGCAAGCATATTCATGAAGTCGAACAAAAACACCTTTGGGACCTGCTGAATGGAAATAACACTTGCCAACTGGGTGCATTTGGTACTCGATCATTCTGCTGCATGACATTCTGCATATCCCAGAAAAAGTACGAACACAATATGTACAAATGTGCGTTCGCTTCTTTTCAGTTTGGGTTCGCTTCTTTTCAGTTTTGGTGCTGTGTTTCCTCAGTTACTTTTCGATTCCTCTTCTTCCTTTTAGCTTTTGCTTCTGCACGCTGAATGCTTACCGTGCAATTTTGCAGGCGTTTTTGAATTTGAAAGTATTGTGCCAGCGCTTTTCTGCAGTCGAATGAACAGCCGTTTTGGGTCTATGGAATTGCGCGTCTGCATTGTTGACTGTCAGCTAATTAGCATTTTTGTGAGGTGCATGGAGGACGGGATTGTCCATCCGGTCGTTGACGATCGGAATGAATAATAAGATCGGCAAAGTGCGCTCACAAAGGGAGCAGGATTTGCTGGACTTCATCGCTCATGCGCAGCAGCAGATGGCAGGCACCCTCCTCCCAGTCCCACTTATGCTCACTTCCACTTCCGTACTTCTCATCTTACAAAGTTTACTAATTAACGCGCCATGAGCGGTGCTCGCATGCGTAGAGTTGCTCCTTCGGATACCATCTGGCTCATTTTCCGGGACATAAGTTTCTTCTGACCCTTTATAGCATGAATAGCACAGTTGTCGTGCCCAGGGAAATCGGTTCGGTCAAGGGCCATCTCATCTCGATCTGGAAGACTTCTGCATGACAGACATCTTTGGATCCTGAGAACTGCCCCAAGAGATTTCTTTTAAGTAACTGGGAACAGTGTCTCCGATTTCTGGAAAGCATTTCGTTCATAAGTCCTATGTTGCGAGTTGTTTTTTGATGCACTAGTGTAAAACATGTTTCGTTGGTTCTGTCAACGAAATTTTCAAAATTTTTGTTGCACTGGACGCTGGACCCTGCCTAATCCAGTTCCAGCAAGGTGGACACTCCCAACTTTTTATTATTTCTATTATTTAACGGAATATTTTATTTCCTATGTTTTAAGATGTTTTTGTAGCGTATTCATTGTTATTCTTAGTACTTATAATTGTACGGCTTTTATTGTAACCATTAATATTGACAGCAGCATAGGCCCAAAAAACTGTGTGAAAGTATCTTGGATTACAATTCATTCCAAATTTTTCGATCATATAAATTGTATGTTTCAGTACTAGCCTTGCAACAAGATACTGTGCTGCGTTGCACAACTCCGGGATGCACCGGTAAAGGTCATGTGAACAGTAACCGAACATCGCATCGAAGTTTGTCCGGATGCCCGATCGCCTATCAGCAAAGACTGGCGCGCAAAGGTAAATATTTCGATTCTGAAATTTGTCTTTTTTGAATTGA